CTTCTTAGCTAGCTAACAGGTATGAGACATGTATGACCTATGGACATCCTGGACGTCTTGGCTTTTCTAAAGCGAGGAATATGGAGGTCAGTCGGTCAGTCAAGGGGCTTAGAGGGATAAAGATGTGAGGTGACGCGAAATAGATTGAATTGCAAAATTTATATAACATAAAAGTTAATGCAGATGTTCATGACGAAAGTAAGTCAATTTTAGAATTAACGCAAAAGTTTAGTAGCAGTATTGAAAAACTTCATCCATTTTCAACGTGCTTCATAAATCTGTTACAACTTGTCCCATAGTCTAACAATAACAACAGTAACAACTTCAGTAATTATCCCCACGGGACCTAGGAAAATCGGTGCGGCAAATAAAACTGCAGTGCAAAGTACAACGTCCGAATGCGCCAGTGCATCGGTAACACTAGATACAAATGTTTTAAATATAAACAAACGTTCACGTTTTTATAAAAGTTTTATCGTAGTATTTTGACTGCTGTTTCGTTTTTTTAATGTGAGAAGGTGGCGGGCAAGACGATGCACCTGATGTTAAGTGATAACCGCCGCCTATTGACATCTGCAACATCGGTAATATTCCCGATGCGATGACACCTTATAATAAAGCGGGCCCCGACTACCTCACTCAGCAGACGAATCGCAGAAATATACTCACTTCACTACGGTCTTTTGTTAGATTTTGGTACTTACCCGGACGGGCTTGGCCATTCGCGTATCAGCGAAGATCGCGGGACCCTACCAAAGTCTACCACAATTGTTTAGTACTAGCATTGAGAAAGAAGGAAAGAATTTTATTAGCATTGACTAGTTGACCCGTGCGAAATTTTCGCGCAGCGATTAATTAAAGAATGGTAATATAATGATGTGTAGATAAGTATTTATCATTGAAAGGTATCTTATTTCGAAGAAAATCCTTTTTCTGTCTACTTCGCTAAAATTAGTTTAAGAAAATTGTCAATAGATGGCATTATCATACATTATTTATGAGAAAATTTTACACTAAAGTAGGATTATTACGGCGATTAGTTGTATTTTATTCTTTATATATATCCATTTTCAATTTGCCCATTAAACTGTTGAATAAAATACTTTATTATATGATATGTGGCCTGAAAAGCGTCGACCTTGAGATGTTTATTTTAGTTCGTAAAGTTCAATGAGAGGAGCTTGCTCTCAACTCGTCAATTAAAATAATTTGAATAATTTAGATAGCTTCCGAGAATAGTTAGTATAGAGGGCGCACAGTTTATTATATTGATTGTATAAATATTTTGATGAGACACTTTATTTGTTCAGTATCATGTCGCGAAAAGAAGACTCCGATTGATCGCAATACAAAACTACTTGTTTTCTTTAATTTATTTCAACATTGTTATATTGAACGCAAAGTATAAGATTGTGTAATCTTTAACTTTTTCATTTTCTAAAATGGATAGCCGAATTTTATTATTTTTAAAATTACGGTGGTTAATGCTTTGGCGACAACAGACATAAAAGACCGGTTTATAAAAATGAGTACAGCCATAGATCATATTACGTCTCTCTTCTTTGTAACAAATATGATGCTCTTGATATTATCTCTTCTTTGTAACAAATATGAACAAAATGATAATTTTATTATTATCTCTTGATACTAGCTCAGCTTTTTTCTTGGCTGGCTCTCATCTAAAGGGTCCACTATTTTCGGTTAGATGCATGGGGCGGCATCGGAGGCAGCGGACGTAAGTAGACACTTTGGCTGGCTCTCATCTAAAGGGTACTTCGGTTAGGGATGGGGCGGCATCGGAGGCAGCGGAAGTAAGTAATGAGTCTTTATGTTGAGATTATGTATTTATGCCATTTGCTGTTGAAACTTTAGGTCCGTGGGGTCCCCTCAACACATGGGGCACATCAACATTTTTCAAAAGTTTATGTCCTAGGCTTAACGCCGTGGCAGGTGGCAAGAGAGCTGGTTCTTTTCTGGCTCAAAGGTTAAGCATAACTATTCAGCGAGGAAATGCAACTAGGTTTCTTGGCACCTTGCCGCGTGGATTAGGTTTATTAGATAATATGTAATTTTAGTTTTAGATTTAATCTTGTAAATATGAGATCAATAAACTGTATGATATTATTATAAAAAATAACATATTATTTCTATACAACAAGTATTAATATGTATTAATATGACACCCGTTAAACATTTATTATGCATACTCATTATTTAACATATTTTCAACCGTGTATAATTAATATTGTCTCTTTTATTTCGACTCCATCTACAAATATTAGGATATTTAAAAACGTATCGTTATTGAATTAAAAATATCCTACTTTACTCGGAACCTGAACTTTTATTGTTGAAAGAACTTCTCAGGAACAAACAAATTTTACATCTTTATAAAATAATTAGTGAAGAGAATATTAAGTTGCAAGTCTGCATAGACATATTCTATTAAGAATTTGACTTTAAGCCTTTAGAAAGGCATCTTTAAGCAATAGAATTTTACATGGCTTCAGGGTTATATCGACTTGACTTAAGCATGTCGTTGTCTTCGCTATATTCCTCTAAGCCTTTTATCGCTTAGTTGAGAATTCAATTACGTTCACTTGAATTCTAATTCGTTCGTCTATTCAGAAAACATCCAAGTCCTTAGCTTCGCTATATCTCGCTGTATCTATGTGCCTAATGCGATTCCTTAGTTTTATTCGCCGAACATTTTTAAATTGACTATCAAATACTAATAATAAGAATTGTAAGGTTTTGGTTCTGTGCACGTGTTTCGAGTTTTTCTAAAGATATAATTCCAATTGAAACTTTGCTGTTAAATTTTATGTCGTACGATTTAGTCATATACGATATTGTTACTTATGCTCTAGTAATAAAGTCGATAACTTAAAGCGTTTCTTCAAGTACTTCGACGTTGAATCACGGACTCCCGTAGTGTTCCAAAATGAGAGGAAGCTTTTCTGTATTGTTAACGAGCTGAAGATTGTTAGAGTTATATCGTAACGCTATTAATATTTTTAGGTTGAGGATTGTATCTTGTCTGAGTGAAGATATAGATTTACTTTTGAGTCGAGTTTCTGCTTGATTTGTTGCCACAAAAGAATTCATTACGTATTAAAAGACTGGTGAACCCCAAGTAATATTCCTGGAACAATTCTTTTTTTCGCTTTCATTTTACGGTAAAACATAATTATTTATATAATAGTCTATATCAGGGGTGAGCAACCTTTTTAATCAATGGGCCAATTTAAATTTCAAATTTTTTGGCGGGCTGCACATAATAATTTACGAAAATTTATTTATAATAAAAAGAAATAAAATTGAAAACAGTAAGGATTTCATATACAAATATTAATGCAAGGTAAAAACCAACAAGAAAAGAACAGAAAAACGAACAAAAAATATTTCGGTTCAGTATGTACTACTATTTTATTATAATTAATTTTATAACAATATATTGATGGGAGAAATTCGATAAATTAAATTAAATTTTACCAATGCTTGGCGGGCCGCATAAAGATGTTTAAGGGGCCGCAAGCGGCCCGCGGGCCGCGCCTTACTCATCCTTGGTCTATATCCTATATGCCGTAACGACACTTAAACATCTCAGCAAAAGGTATTAACGTGTAGTCCTGCCTTACGTCAAGCTCGGTCCATTTTAAACGTCGGTTTTGAACCTACACCAATTGTATTCGCGCCTTATCTGATTAACAGGTTGTTAACCGAACGTTCCCAAAAGTGACACGCCGGTCAAAGACCGCGTCGTCCCATCGATTGCAATCTGATAAAATGGTCTGAAGAACAACTTGCTATTGAATATTAAGATTCTACTAGCGATTCGCGGGGCTAATATAGACATTGGTTTTGTACGACTAATACTAATGCTGAATAGCGGCATAATAGAAAAACGCTGAAAAGGGTAGAAATTTAGAGGAACTTGTCACTAGTGCTATAAGGCAAACTAATTTTATTTGGTGTTTTGTTTAAGCGTGGTGATGAATATAATATCATGGAGATCAAGTCAAGTTCAGGAGTTCAGGTCAAGTTACTGGTATCAGGTTTTACTTGAATATGTGTCGTTATTAAACGATTTTATTTAGCTCGACCCGTACGGAATTTGTTTGTTTATTTGGGTCAAAATTAGAAATTGAAATTTAAGCACCGTCCCGTTGTCAGATTGATCTGAAATTTGGTACACACATTTAATTTAGATGACAATGGCGTGATGTAGGTACATCATGCCCGTGGTATTAGAACGCTAGCTGCATTGTTACGCCCGTGGTATTAGAACGCTAGCTGCATTGTTACGCTGAAAGGTTTTACAAAACGTTGGCCAGAAAATAAAATATTTCTTAACCAAAAAGAAGACCACCTGAAGATATCTCACTAACTCCTGTTTGTTAATGGGGAGTTCCCTGATGTATTTTAAAGTCGGTTCAATAATGACGGAGTTCTGAGGTAACAAACACATTGAATATTTAATGAGGTACCTCTTCTGCTTACGGAGTTGTTTAAAAGAAATGGCCATCTCCTCATTCGTACCAATTGTGTTTGTGGGACCCAATGTCTCTAATCTCTATGGTACATGGCACTAATACGCAGTCTACAAAAAACTTATCGTTTTCTAAAATGTCTATGGTAAATCAATCGTTCTTCTTTCTCTCCTAGCTAGGTGGGCACAATATGTAAATTTATATTGTTAATTGATTTGGCTAGGTTAATTAAGACCAGCCGTTTGACGTCAACCCCTTGGGATCAAACAGTCAGATCTTGATCAACTATCTGTGGGTTACGTAAATACTTCTCGGCTTAGCAACTGCGCGACAGGGTCATAATGTTATCACTGTTAAAATATCCCATTCATAATATTCGTTCATTGCCAATGATTCCCACGGCGCATAGTTTTGTATAAAACTGATCCACCGATAAGTTTCTAGCATGCCACCATGAAACAATGCCAAGTCAGTATCGACGGAATACTAATGACGTTTTTGTTACAGATTATCAAGATCCCCGAGTCGAAGGAAGGTTTCATAGACCTGAACAATCTAGAGCTGAGACTGCAAGAGAACACTGGAACCGGGAAACGGATGATAGGGTTCTTCCCCGCCGCCTCTAAGCTCACTGGTGTCTTCGCTGACGACGTGGCCACCACCCTCCTCCTGCACCAGTACGGAGCGTGGTCCTTCTGGGACTATACCCTGGTCGCGCCGACCTCGAATGTCGACATGAACCCGACCTTCCTCGGTGTCGAAGAAGGCATGGTGAGGAAGGACGCGTTATTCTTCAACTGCGAGAAGTTTGTCGGCGGCGTCCAGGGTCCATACGTCACCGTGGTGAAGAGGGACGTCTTCAAAAGTTCCCCCCTGTATTCAGATGATGTTGAGGTGAGTAGTTGGGCTGTCATCACGTAGTATCAATAGACGAATTAAAATTACATTGTATTACACACTACTGTGGTAGGGCCACGCAGCATCTTCTGCTGTTGCAGTAATAGGAGGGTCCACCCGGGGAACCACAACCTCACAGAAGAGTGTGCGGTGGAAGTATTATACTTTTGCATTTCGTGTGGTGAGTGAGGTAACCGTTTTAACCCAATTTGTTTTAAGGGCAACGTATCTGCAACTCCTAAACTGTTGTAGCCGTCCATGGGCAACGGTTATGAATTAACATCACGCTCACCAGGACCATTTGAACGTTTACCACATAAAAAGAAAACATTATGCTATCCATATTGCTGTAATGATAGTCGTTGTCACAAAAAATTTTAGATTCTCATATTTATTTCCTAATACAATATCCAGTTACTGTTTTTGAATTGTATTTAACAGCTCCAGAGATATACATTACGATTCAACAAACAAACAGACTGAGCCAAGCTTTGTTAATATTTCATTGAGGTGACATAGTCTATGAGACTCTCCAGTACATATAATGTTTCCTTACTAGGTATCAAGTTTTCTTGTATGGTCGTTTGATCGAAGAAAGACGACCCGACGAACACGAATTCACAATAACATGTTCATACACGTAACGTAGTACATTCACATGGTTTTTTTATTTATATAATTTCGTTTAAATATTATATAAATTTAAAACGCTTATTCCACACTCCAATAAATAATCAATTTATTGCTTAAGGCAATAAAGAATTTTATTTATCTGTGCACTTAATGTGACCTTAAAGATCTCGAGAGTTCTTTATTGGTTGTTATATTTCGTTTCAGCCGTTTTAACATTGCAAATCTTTGCGCCTTGTGTATGTAATAATGGGTTAACGAGTAAATGGTTTATGTTTCTTCATAGGTTTAGTTATCTTTTTATTTACTTAATTTATTTAAACAATAATGTCAACAGCATCTAATAAAATTTAGGTAATTTTATGTAATAAACATAATAAATTTTATAATAAACTTTAAATAATGATCATCGCTAGGCACTTTCCCAAGCGAAATTAATTTCCAGAAGATACTTCATTTACCAAAAATAATAAGAGCTCTACAAATTGGAATCTCTTTGAATGTATGAATATCAAACGCTTTGTTAAGATCTCGAATAAACCGAAAATTAAAATAACTTATAGGCCAATGTTATGAAAATAGAGGAATATAAAAATTAATGTATTATTTGAAATATCATTTTCTTTTTGAATATTGTTAAAAATAACAATTTCATCGTTTTTAACCGTTGACGGCAAAAAATTATTTTAAATTTTAACGTATTTGAATCGAGTAATTTATGTATACGTTGATTCTTTTAAAAACTCGTGGTGTTTTTTTATTTTGGCTAAGTCTCTGAAAAAAAAAACTAGTTTACTTGCTTAACATAAAATTAAATCTAAACACATTATTTTTTTTATGGCGTATTATTTATTATGGCGTTAATACACAGTTATATTACCTTCGACACAGCTGTATACTAATGGTACCTTTTTTTGTATTATCATTTGTACATTGCCATTTTTTTAAATAAAGATTTATTAAAATAGAAAAACATAACATTTTCCTTTTCGTTGAGTTTTGTGTTAGAACAGGTAATTCGTAACTAAAGGGCATCTCGATAAAATAAATGTAATGCATGAATAAAAATCAGTCAATTCTTTTACGATGGCCAAACAGTACATTAATAACGCGAACGAATAAAATATAATAATATTAAATTTTAGGACTATTTAATGTATAAATTTAAAAAGCAATATTCGTTAAAGGAACGCATTTGATGATGTCTTTATTTTAATATCTTCAATTATAGAAGTTTAATACTAAATAGATTTATTTATTTCTTTTATTTTTTTTTTAAAACATTGCTCCCACTTTAGGATAACATTATCCTGTGCAGTAAGGACGTTTTACAATCACGTGGACAAACACCCAGATGCGAAACAATTATCTGTGGGTCACACATATAGCTGTCCCGTGTGGGAATCGAAGGCACGACCTCCGGGCCAATACCTCGGCAACTGCATCACGGGTCTTCAAAAAGAAATTTTCGATATGCTTGAAAGAACGATATCGTCTTTACATTCCAAACAGTTCGAACTGTCGCTGTGGTAGGGTCATGTAACAGCATCGGCTGTTGCGCGAATGAGCAGGTCCGTCCGCGTCAGTACCACGACCTCACAGAAGATCGGCGTGAAGTGGAATTTCATACTTCTGAGTCTCGTTTGGTGAGTGAGGTAGCCGGGGCCCACTTTGCCATAAGGTGGCAACGCATCTGCAACCCGGTGCTGCAATTGTCCATGGGCGGCGGTTAACTATTAACATCAGATGAACCCTCAACTCACTTGCCATCCTTTTCACACTAAGAAAAAAAAATCCGTTCTGCGGCACAGTTGCTATCAGAGCGGATCGAGGAGTACCGGTGCGCGGAGGCGGTGCGTGCTGCGCTGGTGATGCAGCAACGCGACGCAGTTGGACTGCAGAACATCCTGGAGAGGCAGGACTATATTACACGGTGAGATTAATTTTTTAACAGAACATAGAAAAGGAGAGAGCGGCCCAGTTGATGATAAGTGATGACACTAACAACTGGCGGTGAGGTGCTTCACCTTTGAAGATCCACGCATTAAAGAACTATTATAGGTGATCGTACTGTTGTAGAACCACGTAACATCTTCGGCTGTTGCACAAATGGCCCGTCCGGGTAAGTTACCAGAGTTTCAGAGAAGACCGGCGAGAATTGAAAGTGTTATACTTCGTTTCGTCTGGTGAGTGAGATAACCGGAGCTCATTTTTTTAAAAGTTGCCAACGCATCTTTAAGCCCTCAGGTGTTTTAAATGTCCATGTCCAAAGATGACTGAACTGCTGTAGAGCCACGTAAGAGCTCCCGATGTTGTATGCAAATATAAACAGTGCCCGTTATATTTCGTAATGTCAAAGGCAAATACTACCGTTAACATGTTACCACATTACCGTAGATGACAACTTGTGCAGATCGACGCAACTTTTGAATACACGTAATATTCTTTTTTTTGTGGCGTTGTAAAGAGAGGCCGTTATTTAACAGTGGACTTCTTCTGGCTGATTATGATGATGATGAAGGTCTATGGAGTTTTGTGTTTATGGTTGAATTCTTATATTTGCAATGTGAAATCTAATAGATTACAAAAAATAAAACTATTTTAAAAGATTATCTTCTCTGATCTATGACAATTATTTGGGTCATACAAACATATCACTCAGATTAAAATCGAACTATCAATTGGTGTCGCGGCGGAACTTAACCCCTGTGCCACCCGGGTCACCGAAAGTTATGTTTATTATGGGGTGTTTGCTAAGATGTTTATAAAAGCATATATTTTTTTGATTTTTCTCGCCGAGGTTAATAAGTGTCTTAAAGTTTCTGGAATACACCTATGCAGTCTGAGGATTATTCACATAATTATATGTAGACGCATCGCGACTGAATGAGTTTTTTAACGAGAGCACTGTGAGATTTTTTTTTCGCTCGTTTAGTTTGACCTAGTCAACCTGAAGTAGTTTCGCGAATATATTCAGGACAGTGTTGACGTCTTGGCGCCAACTCATATTGCGGCCATTTATAAACGTGTCATTGTAAAACTTTTTGGCTGTAAGCCGCGGGCCGCTTAGGGGACTTATGTCATCATAAATGAGTTGTGCGATGACACGATTTCTGACCTGGGAGCGGATTGAGTCGATTTGTCTGCGAGATCGCTACGCGATGTCAGTTGCGACATCGTAGAATCTGACCTGTGTATTAATAGACGTGTTATTTTTTTATGGGCAAAAGCTTTATAGACATGCAGCCAGACCACAAAAATTATTTATTTAAACAGTGATGACAAGTCTAGTTTGGGAAAATTGTTTCATTCGAAATGTCACTTCTAAAATATTTTGAATAGTGCTTATTTTTTTTTTGTTAGGAAAAATTTAAATCGATTGACACAATCAAGGTTTCATTTGCTTGAATTTGAAGCTGTGTTTTCCGTGTTAAGCGCTCGACGCTCCTGAGGTACTACAGCTACTGAGCTATACGGCATAATTTCACACCGACAAAAATCTCAACGTATTCATCGACTCTATTTTTATTGCATTTTAAGCAGCGCTTTGCGCCATCTAGTGTGTTTTCTGTACGAAAAAAAACACTTCTTCATACGATGAAGTATTTGAAAACTAGTGATGTCACCTTTGCTATTAAAATTTAAATAATATTAATTTTTATAGTATACTATTCTGCCTTTAAGATGTTTTTTTAGAAAAATGCTCTATTGCAATTCGTTTCTACAACCCATATTATTAAAGACTTTCTTCCTGTTTTTTTTTGTTCATTTTATAAAATTACGGTATTGGCTTCAGCGCCGGGGGTCGTAGGCTCGAATCCCAGATGGGACAGGTGACCCTTAAGGAGGGTAGGCGTGTTGTACAGACTCCACCTAAGGGATAGAGATAATATTAGATCTCTAATTGAACGAAGAAAAAATTTATAAAAGAAAAAATTACCAGTAGGTCGCACAAACAGTGTTCTGAATGTACGTCAAAAACGTGTTTAGTAAACGTGAGCATCAAGTCATCAATACTGTGCTAATGTGGCTAAAGATTTATTTCCTTTATTCGTATTCATGTTATATAATAAATAAAATACACGAATATCTCATCAAAATTGCATCACCGACCTTAAGTTGCGCTTAATGCCATATGTAAGACGCCTACGTGAAGTTTTGCGAAGGCCTCTCGGGTCAGCTCTTAATATGGACCGGAATTAAGAAAATAACCCTTACCTAATTGCGATTTTCCTTATAGCATTGTCCTCATTACATTTTGGTTCCGTATTAGCTTAGTAAGGTTAATTTAACCCGGCCGAGTTGTCAAATCACTAAAGGTTTGTATGTCTGTTTTGGCCATGATTTATATTTATGACATGCTTCGTACGCCCTCTACGTTTGTCAATCAATTTGAAGTTGAAAACAATTTTTTTACATCGAATTCACACATTGCACGCCTGTTCTGGAGTAAATCTTTGTTTCAAACAACACTAATTTTCCCTTTTATCCTTGTCGTCTAGTCAATGTTATTTATTTAACTCATGAATATTATTTTTGTTTTCACTTATTGATATTAAATATTCTGATGTCTTGAATACGTTAAAGCAACCTAAAATATTACGTGCATGTCTCCCGCGTTTTATGTATTCACTTTTCATGTATACACTGCCTACTTATGTACCTTCCCACGCGAAATGTAGTAGCTGGCAGCTCTCGCATTTTAACGAAACAACACCCTATTTAAATCTCTTTGCCTGGTTCTCAAATAAATCGTTAAGATCCCAGTAAATTATAGAAAAAGTTATTGTCTTCGTATTTACATAGGTCTAACAAAAATAGATACGTATATCCTGCCGTTTATATAAGTGGTAATTCTTCGATATGGAACCGACTTCAGTTTAATTGTAAATTTATAGACAGATTTAGAAGATGACAGATGAGAACAGATTTAGATGATGTTACCTTGTGGCGACTCGTAGGACAACAAATCGTAAAAACGTGCCTTTCTACGAGAGGAGGACCCGCAGAAGGTGTCATAGATTTGCGTTTAATAAATACGAATAAGTGAAGACTCATCGGTATGCTCCGGGCTTTGAACACGTGCTCTTAATACCTCAAGTATGACGTCCATTACGTTATGAACACCGAAATATATTAACATAATATAGCAAAGACGTTATGCGTCGGTTTGACAACGAAAACGTTCGTAATTGTTTGCTACTCGTATCCTTAGCAAGAACAGAGGGGCATTAATTGATCAATCATAGGACAACCTTCATCAGTCGTTTGCATTACGACGGATGAATTAGTTCCCATCTTCCCATTTCCTTCCGTCTTCTTCGTTTTTATCAAACGTCTTCGTTTTAAGCCCCAATTCCCAGTAGTAAGTAAGACGTCACGAGGGCCCGAAAGAAAGAAAGAAGAACTTGGCTGACGTTGCCTAAAATCAAAGGTGGTGAGCAAAGTTTCTATATGATAAGCACCCTTGGCAGAAGTTATATAATACCAATAATTAAACCATAAGAAACGATAAGGATCGCCTCTGCCACCACGGTAATGCTACGTTATCAATTGAAAGCGCTTCGAGTTTGTTTCAAAAAAGAATTACTGAATCATTTCGCATGTCCGCTTTTGGGTCTGATGGTCGCAATCATTCTCTAAACAAAAAATGTCGAAAAAAACAGAAACCCAGATTTGTTCTGGATGTCAGCTTCATTTTTTTAATACAGACAAAAACGCAGCGACGTTGGAATTTACGTTGACGTGACGAAAAAAGAAATTTAATTTCTTCTCATTCATTCATCTCTCGTTCGAATTAACGTTGTAAAACGATATATGAAATTGTTTATATACTGTAGAAAAACAATAGATGCATCAAGCATTACTTAAAATGCGAAAAAAACATATAATACACGTTGAGATTTTCGTCGTTGTGGCAATGAGCGTCTTAGTGTTTGAAGCGTCTAGGCGTGGATCTGGAAGACGTGGGTTCGATTCTCGCAGCAGCGAAATTCTTATCGTACCTTTTTTCTACAAATGTTTATGTTTCATCTTAAGTGTAGTTGTGTTAGCACCACAAAAATTTTAATTTCGATCCATATCGATTGGAAACGTATGCAAATCACATATCGAAATGCCGGCTCCCTAAGTATAGGTACAGTTATGCATAAAGCATTTGAAATTCCACATGCGTGTTTTTATGACGACCGTATTTGTACGTGAAAGAATTCAGCAACACGGGAATTCTTTGGATCATGCCACTGTAATTTGAAACCACAGTTTCGCCACACAGGCCCTTGGGCCATCATGGAATGTTTTAAATGTGTGTATTTATTTAACTAGCTGCTGCCCGCGACTACGTCTGCGTAGAATAGGCTGAAGGCGTAACATTCAGACAGAAAGACATACATAAAAATTATAGCCTATGTGTTATTCTGATGTATAAGCTATATTATTGTAAAGTTTCATCAGAATCCATTCAGTAGTATTTGCGTGAAAGAGTAACAAACATCCATCCATACATACAAACTTTCGAGTTTATAATATTATTATATATAGTAAGGATTGAAAACACTGAGTTAGGCCCATGATTGGCGTTCTATTGGAATGAAGCTTATAGGCTTTTAATGAATATTAGTATATCATGGACGTCACTCGATATTGTTTCAGTGCGTTCGAGCCTTGTGAAGTCGTAATGGAAATTATCTGTTATGTAATCGAGTAAGCAATTGAGTGTTTAATTAGAGTCACTACTCTGTGAGGTACACTCTACTAGAGTGATTTATATCACACTCATTCTATTCTACTTTTTACATCAACATTCTTTATGTACGACTTCAAAGAGGTTCTCCATTCGTCGGAATATTTTTTTATCCATGTTACAGATAACAAATCAGAATTTGTGATTATTTCTTAAAAAGAATATTACTAAGGGGTAATCACAATTTATGT